AAAAAATCAGTTTTTATATATCATGCAATAACATAATTGATACATAACGAAATCAATTCAACCAAACGTTGAATAACAACGTAAAAGGTATAAGGAAGGCTCTGATACCACTATTAGTCGCTGATGGGGTTTACGCAGTGGAAAACAGAAATAAAATCCCTAACAACAACATTGAACCCAAGAACCTTATACTTGATTTATGTTATTTACATGTAATGCCCACATCGAGATACATAGCTTTACTTATACCCTGATACCCTTAGTTGAATTTTGTTAAAGTTATCTTGAACAAGTGTGAAGAAAATTCCCTAAAATTCCATTAGGGGTAAAATGGTCTTTTTACTCATAATTAGTTGAAAAAGTGGGGAGGGAAAAGAGATAGAATTTCATGGAGAATGCAATAAAAATAAGGGCATTATGGTAATTGACTAAGGGACATAGATGAAATTTCATAGAAAGTGCAAGGGTAAAATGAGAAACTATAAGTAATATTTTGTTATATTAAGAGTTGAAGAATGAAACCCTAGCCATTTCTTCTCCTCCATTCACGCCACCTTCCACCCAAGTTCTCTCAAATTTCTTCAATCATTTTTCAAGGAAATTCATAGATGTTGGTTTATTTTAGTGGAATTTCAATCCCAAGCATGCTTAGGTAAGATCCTTGCACTAAGATATGAGATTTAATTTTTAAAGTGTTGAATTCTTATGATTTGTGTTCATAGGATTTAAGAGAAAGAGAGTTGGATCAAGGAAGACTACTAAAGTGTTGGATTGCTCACATCTAAGGTAAGTAAATCCAACCTTATTTATGATTGGAGTAATATTTTGTATAGAATTTCTTTTATGCATGTATGTGCTTATATATGAAGAATTGTTGATGGAATAGATGTTGAATGATGGTTAAAATTTATCCATGAGAAGTAGTGTTTGTGTACTTGATGTTTGATGAGAGTTTGAATGAATTATGAAAGAATTGGAGTAGAATTTATGGAGTGTAAATCCTAGACAGGTTTGACGTTAATCTTGGTGTGTTTTATTCCAAATTTTGGTGGCTTAGAAGAGAGGTAGAAGTGTAGCCAAATTAGAGTTAATGTGTGCATATAAATTGTTTGATGAAATGTCAAAGAGAAGTGCATGTATGAGTATGATTATTTGTTATCTTGAGATGAGTTTGTAGATGGTAGAAAATGACATATTAACATTCCATATTGCATTATTGCATCCAAATATGTGAATTTAGAAAGAATAATAAGCATGAGCCCATCTACATGCATACATACTCATAAGAGCATTAAAGAGCAATAATGAACATTAAAGTTAAAGAACAAACAGAAAGAAATGAGAAATATTAAGGAAGTTCAAATCTGAATTTTTATTTGAAGAAGTGTAAAAAGATAAATGAACAGAAGGTTGTTGCGATAGGGAACCGTGAGTGACATAGCCCCGCATGCACACCGCCTTTAGTGAGCGGCCTCAGAATCAGAAAGAAGGATTGTACAATCAGTTAGAAGTGCATGTAGATGAGGACTATACCCAGAATTAGAGTATACACTCACACAGCCAAGGTTCCAAATTCATGCCTCAACCGAGTACGATCAACAAGAAAGAAAGAAAGAATGAAAGAATGAATGAATAAATAAATAAAGAATAGAAAAGAAAAGAAAGAAAGAAAGACTAGAATAGAAAAGAATAGAAAGAAAGGAAGCGTAGAAAGAAATACAGAGAAAAGAAACAGAAAACAGAATAAAAAAAATAGAAAAACAGAAAAGAAAATGCACATTAGCATCATAACTATGCATGATACCATGCCTACTATCATGAGTAATGAGAAATTAGAAATAGAGAAAGAATAGAGAAAGAACATAGAAGAATAGTGAAGTGTGATGTAAGGAAAGAAATTCAGAATATGAGCAACGGAGATAGAAGGGTAGCATAGCGGGTTTACTTACTGAGCAATTAGTCCGCACCCTATTGTTCTCAATGTTTTTGCAGGTAGTAGGTGAGATGCGGTCACTTGGAATGTCAAGAAACGGAAGGGTTTGGCAACACTGTCGAGTTGTTTTTTTGTGACTGTATTATATTATGTAAATATTTGTATATAAAGAAAAAATAGATATGGGCACATTATTTTATACTCATCTACAAGTATATTTTCTTATATATATCTAGTGAGTTTTACTATTATTTTACGAGTATACTAGCTAGAGAGAGAAAGTATTACATTACATATGAAATGATATTGAATATAAAATTTCCAGATTTCATACCAACGTTTAAAGGCTCTTTCAATCGATACGAATTGCTCCCACTCTAAGATAAGAGTGAATTCTCGTTATCCACACGAAGACAAGATGACGATCGACTTGCGGTCTCAAGTGCTAGCAAGACACACAAGCAAAAATGATGCATAATTTTCTTCAAGAAAAATTCTCTTCTCCTCCAAGTGAAAAACGTGAGAGAGGGCGAGGTGAGTGACTTGGATTTAATTAATGTGTTCTCCCATTTTATTTTAATTTTAAGTTGCCTTTTATATGCAACAAAAATTAAAACCTTAATCTAGTTAGGAATAAATTTATTCCATGATTAGAATAGTAAATCATCATTACCAAACAAGGTAATAATCGACATGACATCTTATTCAAATTCAAATATGATTTTTCATATTAATATATTATCTTTATTAATATCATCAAATATTAATATTGAATATATATATTTAAATTCCAATATGAATTTCATATTTCATATATATTATCGTCACTAATATTAATATCATCATATTAATATATTAAATAATATATATATAATATTTAAATATATGAATATATTTAAATATATAATCTCACTAATTTTAATTTCAATATGAAATTAAATATAGACAACGACCTCAACAAATTTAATTGCACTATGAGATTATTAAAATGTCCTTTCGTCTCAAAAGATGAAAATATATTTTCCATCATAAATGATGAAAATACCCTTTCATCACAAATGACGAAAATACCCTTTCTCATCAATTCATCCTTAATTTGTCTTCTATGTGTGTGACTCGAAGGCTCTCATCATATCGGCAGTGAGTAGTCTCACGATTGACACAAACAATCGTCCCACTAAACACAAACCAAAATTGGCCTCTGGTAATGGCCACTCAATAGAATTGGATTCAGCAAAGTAGCTTGCCTATCAACGATAAGGTTACCATGCAATCAGATCATTTCATCATCTGTTATCTCATCAAGGCTAAGGTACAAAAACAGTGTCAGCCTTAGTTATCGTCGATATCCTTGTATTCAGTTATTGGACTGATGACTGGAATAATAAATTGGATTGGGCAACAACTCAATCCCACTGCGGCAATAGTTTAGTGTCATTGTCATTCACTGAATTACGCCGTGAGATAACTTCTCCCGTACCTTAGAGTGATGAATCCTTTGTTGATCTACCATAGTCTTGATATACTTCTCAATGTAGCCAATCACTATCGTATTGATAGCTCTAAATAGAATTACGTTAGACTGGTGTCAAACTACACCAATCAATGCACAAGACGCTCCGGTGATCTCAAGTCTAAGGATCACATGCACCACCATTCGTTAAAGGATTTATTCTATAGACACCAGGGTTACCATCTATATGGAATCCTCTGGTGGGTCTATCCAATGAACTTGCCTACAACAAGCACCCATGTATCGCACCAAGTTGTCGGCAAACCTTGACAAGTGAGATCAGTCACTGTCTTTCGACATAGTCGTTCAACACTATAATAGTCTTACCGTATTATCTGTGTCCTTGGTCAGAATAATGCTAAGGCTACGAACATTTCTAGAATGGCCACTATATATGATCACAAGGTTCTCACTATCAAGATTTGAAGCACTTGATACCCTCGTCACGGTTCTATCATCGTAAGGACATATATCAATACACGCAATTATGATTTACATGATATAGAAGAAAAATGTATTTTATTGATGAATAAACATTATTTTAGAGAGTCAATTCTACAATAATTAATTGGCTCTAGGACACCTACTCTAACACATATGAAATTGACAACCTAATGCTTTTCATTAGAGTAGGACGAAGTTTGTATTGGTAACCTTAGAATTGACAATTAATTGTCTTTCGTCATAGTGGGATGAAAATGTAAACTTTAAGATACGTGTATCAACCTTATAATACATGCACTATTTATGTAGGACTTACACAATAACAGAGAATCGAATTTACTGTAGAATGTGTTTGAATTTATAGTTTACACTTTGTTGTCTTTCATAAGAGTAAGATGAAATGCAAACTCTGGACACATGTCATAATATATGCACTATTTAAGTACAACTTACGCAATGACAATGAATGAACCTACAACATAACTGTGAGTCTAAATTCTCAATTCACACTTTAAGAGTCTTCTCTTTTTAACTAGTGAATGAACCTACGACAAAACCATAAGTCTAAATTTTATAATTCATAGTTTAAGAAACTCCTTTTTAACTAGTGAAAAACAGATGAAGAACAAGTCAAGAGCATGGAGCAACTTAGGAAAGTGAAAGTGCAGTAAATAGGTAGGCAAAAATGTTGGCTTCTACTGGCAAAGATAATTAGGCAAAGAGATTTGGTAGAATTAACACGTTTTAAGCAGATTGATTGTATGTATTAATATATTTGTCTGCTATGCACGTAGGGAGCTAATATGTCATTATAAAATCAATAAACAAACCATCACAAGTTTCATATAATTGAGCAACACCATCATTATCTAACCAATTAAAGACAAGTGTGCACGAGTGAGTGTCTACCAGCCTTGACGAGCAATCTATCCCTTCGCTTATCCTAAACACAAATGATCATGTTCATGATCATGATTAATTAATCACATTAAATTTAAAGGTTGTAAAAGACTTAATAAAAGTTTCATGGCGGGGCCTTTGCCTTGCACAAAAACTTTGACAAATTCGTCATTTGATTCACTAATAATTAGAGTTAAAAAGAAGCTGGTGGGTCTACTCTTAAAAGCCCTTGTGGGGCTTGTCAACTTAAATCAATTTTATATGACAAGTGTGAGTAAAAAAGAAAACTATATAGGAAGCTTACAAGGTGGTTATATGGAGTTGCTTTCAGGAGGTTGCAGCTGGAAGCTGTAAAACAGTTGTTGAAATTTTCGGCTTAATGGCATAAGCAACAGTAATTTTTGCTGGGGTTGAGTTTGGAACTTCATTGTGGAAGGGTACTTCAAACAAAAGGGATTGGTAAAGGCACACTTCATCTTCTTTACAGTAATAGCCCTGTAAAACATGGCAAATCATCACCCACAAAATAGTTAATAAGCTGCAAAGTTAAGTATGAATTTATTCAAACTTTTTTTGCGCCCCATCTTAATGCTATTATAGTCTGCATAGCCGAATATCAATTTGATCTTAGAACATAGAAATTTTGGTGTTACATGTGTTTGCTATTTTAACTTTAAATTGACTATACTATGCAAATGATGTTTCAATCAACCCATTTACATTTCAGGCCCTAGATCTAGATCTTTGGTGTTATTCTCATTCAAACAGCAAGTCCATCAAAACCGTTAATATGTCCAATGAGTGAACAACATACATTGAGAACATTAGTGAAGAGCCATGAGCCTGCAGTGTCACAATGGGGCTGCAAGCCTGAACCAGGTTGTATTTATAATTACTAAAACACCCTTGATTCCCCTGGTGTTGGTATTGAAGGCGAGGGTCAGTACCCCAGGTTGAACCAGCGACGTACCTCAAAGCATGGTTTTCAGTATTTGCAACATAAAGGATGTTTTTCTTCGCATTGTAAGCCAAGCCCTAGAGAAGCATGTGGCCACAATGTTACTACTCAGTACTAATTCATCCATATAAAAATTGAAGCATGAGATACCAAAGCTTGATGCATGCTTCTATTCATTTATATTGATTATGACTGGAGGTATTAACTTAATCCTTACTTGAGGATGATTAAAGATGGCCGTGGCCTCCTCAAAGGATCCATCACGTAGACCTTCCTCTCTTGAGCTACCGATTTGGACCATAAAATTCCCATCTAAATCAGTTACCACCTGAAGTCCAGATGTGACAAGATAGTTAAATAACAATCCAAGCATTTAACCATGCTATTCATTACTGGATAAGGAAATATTGGATTAATATATACTGATTATATGCTATTCATTACATGGTGGATTATCATGAGTATTGATTAGTACTTACAAACATGTCATCTAAGTACCATCATCAAGCTTTTAAATATGCAAAAACAATTTGAAGCTGCATATTGTTGCAGTTTGAGCACATTTAAGAATTCTTAAATTCTTAGGATTTCAGATGCTTCTAACTACCAAATTCTGAGGACCACCAAGAGATATATACATATAAAATACAAGTCTGCAAGTGTATATTTGTTTAGAGAGGGAAAGAAAGAACACTTACTATTCTATTATGGTTACTGTCCGAAATGAAGAGCCAGTTGTTGAGGATATCAATGGAAACTTCAAAGGAAATGTGAGTAAGCGAGGCTCATTGTCTTTCTCCAAAGTCATAAGAAGTGGTGTATTGTCAAGGAGTTTCTTCTCACCGTAAAACAGAACAGCTGCCTCAACTAAATCACCAAGATCCTTAGGAAAAAAGAAAAACTTTTTCAATTTTCTTTCTAAAAATGTACCATTTGCTAGCAAGTTTTAAGTTATTAGAACTTGACAAAAATAATTATACCAAAAGTCTAACGTTGAAGATAATCCTCAGAATTTCAGTTCATAATAAAGTATTAGCTAGAGCAACTCCAAACTCATCTTGCACAAGGACAGAGCAGGGTGCCACACAATTGTCCATTTCCTTAAACAATCCAACTACTTTGTCTATTTTTCATATGAGATAGGATATAGCAACTTCCAAATAGCAACTCCCAAACTTCCATATCTCAGTACTTCTCGCCGAGAACCCTGCAGCCTGTCCATAAATTCTGTGACCTCAAGCTGAAATATTTTCTCAAAAGGCTCTCTTTGCATGGTCAGAAAATGAAACTTGGAAACAAATATTTTTATGCTGAGATATTGAACTGCTCATCATTGGGATTTTATGCATACCGAGTATGTAGCGAAACAATTTAAATGATGCAAGTTAACATTCCTAAACATAGTTCTCTAGAAGACAAAATAAAAGCAGTATCAAAGGAAACCAATTTTCATGATGGAGCATTGCATCAAAAGCTCCTTAAAATTTGAATGTTGTTGGGAGAAACTAAAGAAATGGATAAGAGGGGAAAACTACAAAACTAATTATGACACAAAATAATGAATAGTGTGAAACATTAAACATAGATTCACTCAAACTCTGCAGATATAGACCCTGTCTTACCCCCTAAGCTAAGAGATCTTTGTCACTGGTAGCACCTATAACCTGGACAGGCCCATTATCTGTTCTTTCTTTGGGCATGGCAGATGAATATTCTGAGGGAAAACTCCCATTATCTGCAATGGCACATCCATATTAGATCTCATTGTGCTAGAATGTAAAAATTATTACTGTCCCCTTTGAAACAATTGGTAAGAGAATATCATCAAAAAGAAGTTCTAATTGCAATTTCTTGATCAACCATCTTATTAAAAATATAACATGATAGGAACCCACTCCAATAATTCAACAATTGGGTTGGGCCATGGATCTTTCATTGGCTTGGGTAGAACTCTCCTTGGAAAACCAGCTTGCTAAGGGAGGTGCCCAAACCCTTTATAACCCACATGTCCACCCTTTCCCTCTCAATGTGGAATCCTAACAAGCACCACCTTCCATCCACCACCTCGTGACCAAGTAATATATTCCAAAAGATACGGTGATCATATTTGCCAACCTAAAGTATACACATAAATCTAGGTTTTCTTGTACAATTCTATTTCCATCACTTAGAGCTAAAATATTAACTTTTAAAGATCCATTCCTTTATCCAATGCTAGCTTCTACCTCAATTAATCACATTAAATAACAAACTTTCCCAAAGGTTGGTGCAAGAGGAATTGATTCTTAGACCATCTGCTCTACTGTTAGATATTTAATTAGGTAGGCTATCTTCTAGGGAATAAAACCTAGTTGCATCCATCATAAAGTCCTCAGAGTTGATCACTAAAATAGTCTTGATGCCATATATTTAAGAACATTCCAAGTGACTCACTAAAAGAAGTAATAATTTAAACATAAATAAATAAATAAAACACCTTCATATGCAATAGCTCCAATGATGGAAAATGTAGGGTCTTAAAATTTTAGGAACAAAGGAATATAAATATCTTAGTTAGTTGATTGCTTCTTGTCTAAGAAAGATTTTAGGTAGCATATTTCCAAACAAATTTCTATTTAGAACTGGTACTATATAAACAGGGTCTTAGTTTTCAGTTAATAAAAGACTTGATGAAATATTAGTTTCTTCCCTAATTCTATTTGTTTCTCTTCCTAATTCCTCTAGTTATGTCATCTCTCTTGTTCTTCTAATTTATTGCCCTTTATTTCCTCCTATTCTCACTATTTCCTTGTCTCTCGTATTTTTTATCCTAATGCTCATACATCAACCAACCTTGGACTAGTGGGAACTGACAGTTACCTTCCCTTTTTCTTTAAGCATAGACTTGAAAATAGAGGCAGCCGCAGCACGTATTGCTTGAACTTTTTCTTCGACAACCCTCTTCAATGGAAGGACCCAGCAAGAGAAGTAAAAACCTTGTGTAACTAGTATGATAAAATTGGCACATTAATAACCAAAAAGCATTTGCCGTGCTAATCCAGAAATAAATCAGACTAAACGTGAATCAAAGAATCTCGTCACTGGCTTACTCCTTGCTGACACATACTGCTTGAAAAGATACTCAATAGAAATCAATTTATGCGTCTACAAACAAGTTCAATATAAATTCTAATAATGATAAAGGGAGATTATACGAGATTTAACAACTCAACAAACAAAGCATAAAAAAACTTAATCATAGTCTGAAAAGTTCACTAAGCAACCATAGTCAGCCAAGTGTTTGAAAAAATGATCATATTGTAAACATATAAACATGTCTAGAGCTGTTGAATGCATGTGCATGAGATGTAGTTGTGCACAATATTAGTCTGAGATGAACTAAACTCCTCCACAACAGTATAGCAGTCTTCTAGTATGTACACTGCAGTCAGTAGAGTCAACCTTTGAATACTTATCACTCATACAAATCTTAATACTGGTCAGCAAAGATGAGATAAGAAACTGGAAGCCATTTAAAGGCCAAACAGAAAATATCACACATGCAGACAATCTTTTGGTCCAAATTAATAATTAGCTAGCCCTAGTCCAGTTTATTAATGGGCGCACCTAATTAATGATAGCATCACAAACCAGATATTTAACTCAAGTTACCAAACAGTACTCATGGAAAAATGATGAGAAAGATAAAGAATAAATATCATTTTAAATTAGTTATGTGACAAGACAACTTTGCAGTGAACAGTTCAAAGAAAGAGCTGAAATTAAACCTCATACATGTAACTTGACCAAAACTCTACGAGGGTTCTGCATGGCATTAACTAGCGATCTTCCCAAGCTAAAACAAACATGAACTAAGCCATATTAAAAGTGATGCATCCTAGTGAAACAATTAGACTTCCTCATTATTTTTTTTTTTTTTTCAGTCTAAAGGATAGAAACATAAAAGAGACAAAAAGACTCCACAAAAGTTACAAAATACTCAATGGGTTCGTCGAAGGCATATTTGATTAACAAATTTAAGGGGGTAGCTTTTGGTATGTTCCACACTAGAAATTTAAGTTCCCATTCGCATAGAAATGACCAAAAAAACAATTCTCTTATAGTTCCCCAAATCTAATGTGTTTCTGTTCGCGAAAATAGGTTCAAGTAGAATATGTATTATGCTAAAATGCTAAGTTCACTTTTTCTTCCAAGGATGAATGAAAACATAGATTATCAATTCCAAAGTAAAATTGACTTGAATTGGTTGGAAAAACATGGCTAAACTGACCAATTAAATAGACACCAAAAATATAGATGCTGAGTTACTCCACAAGGATGAAACATGTGATGCTAAAAAAGAGCTCAAGCTATATTCTCCTCATTAAATGATACCTTTCATTCAATAAAAGTTCTGGATCCTTGCGGTCTAATGCCTCAAACCGTGCATCACTGCCCCATTTCTTTCTGAATGTCTGATAATCAGTGTTGTGGTCAATATCTTGAAAATGAAAATATGCTCAATAAACCACCTCCGGCCTGCAGTCTTAAGTTTATACAACTTAGTATAATTGTTATTGAAGTAAACATTAGCAAAATAAGAAAACACTTGAATTCAATATAAGCTCTGAAACCTCTAATGCTTCTTCAAGTAACTGCTTGAATCCCTCTATTGCAGCCTTCTGAGCTGCTCGTTTTTCCTTACATTCCTCCTCAGCCTGTGTCTTAACATAGTGTTCAAACAAGGCAATCCTTGCCGATTGACTTGGGATGGCCTACAACAGAAAATGCCTTTCCCAATCAGCAAAGCAGCAAACTCATTACAGTATGAATGAGAAATATTCCCATCTAGCTGTTAAGACTCCCTGCAATAATAACAAGCAATAGCATAAACAGTCCAAGATAACAGAAAATGTTCACTCAATCAAGTCTCAACCAGATTATACTACTAGAGAATGGAAAAGAAACAACCAAACAATTGACAATCCCAAACAGATAGATCCCAACAATTCGAAGAGCTAGGGACCTCCCACAATGACACTATATTGATCTCTATCTTCACCAAAACTGACGCTTTCTTTATATTACCTCCATGACTAGCTATTCTCTCTACTAACAACTTTGATTCCCCACTCACACGTGAATGTAACTAATTTCCCTAACAACCAACAGCAAGGCACCTCACACTCTTTACACTTTCTGACCCGATTGTCCCTTATGCCCTTTGTATTGATAAACATGTTTAATGGGAGGTCTATCACTAGCACAATATACATAGACTGCAGTATGCATGAAAAAAAAATCAAATTTGAAATAAACACAGACATAGAGAAAGAAAAAAAGGAGTTGCAATATAAAATGAACTTGTAAGTTAGTGCATAATAAACACACCGTCCCAAGGCTAGTCATATTTAACAGGATAAACTAGAAGATCATAAGCCTAAACGACTAAAAGGTATACCCAAAAGATGAGGCACGGGCATAGACAAAGGATACAAGTAGAAAGTGCTATGGATAACATTAATACCATGGTTTTCAAAAATTAACATATGATACAACAAGAACAATATATACCAACTTAAGAACTATAAAAACAAACAAATAACAACTTAAAACTCAGAAATTCTACGATTGCCTCTTAAAGGAAGACAAAAATATTTTATAGGCAAATTTTTAATATCACATCCAAAGCTACTAACCAAAGATGCAATATTACTTTTTTGATATAAAACAAAAAGATACATTAATCAAAAGAGAGATGTAGAAAGTGGACTAGATATCTACTAAGGTGTGAGATCACCTGTGGTAAAAGGCCTCCAATTCTCAAACAAACTATTCAAAATCTTCAGACTTGGCACACCTTAAAACGGGGTTCAAATACTATCTTTGGCAGTTCCTTCTCCCATTTTGAGAATGGTGCCACTCCTCTTTCCTTAAGCATTTCCTATAAAATTTTCATTGGCATGTTAAACAATTAGTTAATGAAACTAGCATTTCTCACAAGCTACATTTGAAGTTGCATCGAAAAAGAATATTGACAGCAGTAGCAGACAATATCATTCATAAAATATATGTATTTAATACTAGAAATAACACAAGAAAAATTATAATTTTTATTTATATATGAATCTATAGGACAAACACTGGAATTCCAAAAGGAAGGACAGTCAAAACACCAACTGAAATTGTTAATCTGAGGGAAATTTTAACAAAATAAGAGCAATAAAGATACCATAAATTTAGTAATGCACTCCTCCTTTGATGGTCCACTTCATCCTTTGAATCTGAAGAAGAGTCAGACATGTTTACTGTCGCCATTAGCATCTTTTAACTTTTCTTTGTTGTTCTCATTTGGCAAGCCCTTCACCGCAACCTCGAAGTAACAGGAGTTCCAGAGTCCTGCAGCTTCTTCTTGATCAAATCCAGGGCAGAGATGATCCTGGCCCTGAGGTTCTCAGAGTTGTGGCATCATGTCCGCTTGTGTTAACAGCCAGAGCACTCAAAGTTGTTGGAGCAGATGCTTTTTCAATCATGATGTTAGTACTTGGCATTGACATTAAATGATCTTTTGAAATGCCATCATCCTGCTTCTTTCTTAATTCTGTCACCTCATTGGTGATCTGCCAGCTGCTTACCTAGATGACAAAGCAAAAAGTACAATTTGTAAAATATATGAAAGCTATAGCCGCAACATCTGAACATATTTAAGGCTTAGACCTCCCTTTTGAAATGCCATCATCCTGCTTCTTTCTCACTTCTTTTCCATTATAAGCCTTGGCAGAATGAATATCATATCTCTCACTCATAAATCACAGTTTATCAACATTATAAAGCATGTACTTTTTATTATATAAATGCTATGACAAAATAAAATGTTAGCAATTTTATATCCCTTATATAACAATTAGAATTCGCATAAAATTGCTTATTCATATTTATATATACTATAATCATCAGTAGACGCCAATAGTTTGTACACTAATCACTCACAGAACTAGTTTTTTTAATTAGAAAACATATCAAAATTTGCACAAATATGGCCATAGCTAAAATTAGAGAAGACAGGATGGCCAACCACAATTCAAGAAAAATTATGCATTACACTTAACCTTGGAAATAAAATGTACACTAGATCAACAACTATCTCTGGCATTTTGACCAAGCAAATATGTATTTAGGGATATCAAGACAGATGCAAGAGCAGAGAAATTGGTCATATTCACATAAAACCTAAAAATAATAAGAATAACAAAAGAATAAAACATATTCAAATTAAGAGGAAGGCGAAGGAAACAATACCTCATCACTTGAATCTCAATTCTAACAATTTTGTGACCCATTTAATAAAGTTATATCCATCATGTTAGTGCAATCCGCCTCATCTTTGAAAAGAATATAATTCAAAACATACACTGATGTTTATTTTAGTTTTCATCAAGTCATCCAACTTTTCAAGTAACAAACTGTGAATACATTAACATGCTCGCACATACATCAAATTTTTAAAGGTAGCAGATCCTAATGCATAAGAGTCAATTGCAATCTCCCCCCTAAGGTATCATCAATAAATGTGTTGGTAAAGGTTAACTTGTAGCACTTGAATATCTTTTCGAGAATGCTATTTCTTCAACAATTGAATGTGACATATATTAAAGATATTTGTATGATAGTATACAACATTCCCTTGTCAAGCTGAAGATGCCAAGAAAGAAATCGATGTTGTAGTGAACAATAGACTCACAATAACATTTATCAGAGACAGGCAACAATTGAATCAATCCTGAGAATGCATGTTGTTTTTTCAGATGGATTTAATATTGATTCATGAATTTCTAGTGCAGACTATAGATTTCATACAATATGATTTCTTTAGAGAATTGAATAAGACAGGTTGACACTATTCATACTAACATTCAGTATTTTGAAATTAGTATGAACTAAGGATATACACTTTGAAAAATAAAATTCAGAGCACTGTGTAGATTATTGTTAAACAAGACACAGCTAATGGGACAGATAATATTTCTTTCTTTCTCGAATTAAAAGAGAAAAGGAGCCGAGTAGTAAAATTTTAAACATTCAAATGTTACTGGTTAAGGTTGCAAATTGATAGAAAAATGAAAGACACGGAGATTCAGATTGTCCTTCAATCTCTTGCGTGCTCTAGACACTTTTTGCAACCAACCAACAACATTGTTCAATAAATATTCAATAAAATTCCTTTTTCTTTAATGTAATGGTAAACAGTCAAAGTTTTGAGTCCATGCAAGGCAATGAGATAGACACATGGTGCATCACTAACTTTATAAAAAATAGCAGATACAAAAGAAGCTTCACAGAATTCAATAAAAGTCCATATTTATATAATTAGGAGCAGACTTCAAATTCTCAAAAGCATCTGCTGACACAATAGCATCAAACCTGATAACAAAAGGATAACAGTAAAGTAAACCTTGGCCATAGAAGTTGAAATTGCAGTCTAAACTTGAAAGTCTATACTAATCTGATTCCTAGATGGTTCTCTTTCCCACCACCCAAATATTGCTCAAGTATATTTTCGATATAGTCCTAGTGGTTTGAGTTTGAGTAAATGTGAAGGCCACAATTTTGATCATGGTAACACACCAATCACAGCAAGGGGGAGTTTCAGTGATCCACAGCCAAATGCAAAGCACTAAAAAATATGAGATTGAGGTAAATAGTCAAGTGTGTTCTCTAAACTTGAGAAACTTAGCCCATGACAAGATCAGCTTACATTGATATTGGTAATCCAGCAGCAGCTAAATTTGCGTCAACCTTGATGCAATCAGCACTAGATGCAACAGCAACTTTTAGGCCTTTGCTTTTGCACTGTTTTACAGCAGCATTTCATTGGCCAATCTTTAATCGCAGCAACAAGTAATTAGGAAAATGATATTTGAAATTATTTAGCTTACATACCTGATTAATCAGTTCAAGGGCTCCTAGAAATCCTATTCCTTAATTTGGTTTTGCATACTGCAAGCATTGAACGAAATCAGAGGTTTTCATTGCAATATGTGGTTTAATAGTAGGTTAATGACCTTCTCCAGATATATCTCAAAGAACCTCTTTTTGGCCACCTCAGGATCAAATCCCTTCATTCCTTTAACAGAAGCTTCACCCCCTAAGAAGTTTGCCTCGCCTATTACATTGTCATAGGACATGTAAATATTAAAAGCTAAAATTACATATCAAAACTCCAATTTAAAACAATAATAGAATGATCCATCATATTCAAACATAAATTAGTTCTCTTTATATTAGAAAACTGTATCTTTGAAAGTAATATCAATCCCACATCACCTTTGCTTCCTCATTCAATTATAACAAGTTATCCACCTCCTTTTGTTTCATAAACAGAAAAACCATGTTTATATTAATGTAAGCTCCAAGCCATTAAACACAGCCCATTACAATTCTTCAATTGCTCATCAATATCATAGCCATGAAATTGAAGTTAACAATTAATAATCAATTTAGCCAAAATCAAATTGATTGTCATTCAATAAAATACTACAAAAAGATTACACATTGAATCGCTTTATCAAATAAATTGCTAAAATGCAAAAGTAATTAGTGACTAAGTTCTTACCAGTTTCCATGAAAGGGACAAAGTCCTCCACTGTAACTTCAACTCCCATTTCAGCAAAAACATCCACCCCAGCCCTTCTGGAAGGTTCCTCACCAATTGATATATGCAATTTAACACCAATAAAGTATGCTTAAAACTGTTTCTACTACGGAGAGCAATAGGGGCTTTAAGCAAATTTTTAAGAAATGAGATCATTTACTAATACTTTTAAGACATCCAATCTATTAAAAAAAAAAAAGAAAAAAGAAAAAGCAATTTCTTCGTTATTACTACTAAGCAATATCTTCATCTTTTATCATCATTTCTGAAGAATGAAATCCTACAGAAGATCAGAACAATATTATCACTATTAACTTCCTTGTGGCTATAGAATGTTTGACAACTTAAAAAAAAAAACTTCCAAATCCTATTAATTTGACAATGAAACTCTAACTGTTCATTCTTTTGGTATTCAAATATCAAAATCACTAATCGTCCACTCTGCAACTTGATCCTGCCTACTAACATAAATTTCAGTCCCCAAGTCTATTAATGGCCAGTGCCTCTTTACAGGTTCTGTACCAGGATCCTGATAGAAGTAAAGTGATTGAGATAATCTTCCAACATCAAGCCCCCAGGTCCTCTCTTCGTTGGGTATCTGTAGTCGCCCCAAACTGGGTGTGGCAGAATCTGCAGGATTTCCCGAGGTTGAGGATTGCTAAATGCATCACTGAGATTGAATGGCTCCTCAGGATACTCAGCATTTCTTGGAGAACGGTAAACATGATGAGCATCATATGGGAAGTTTTCCACATCTGTCAGATCATCAGGTTTGCACCAGGAATATCCTACTTCAGGATTTATAATCATCTCACTGTAACGAGTAACATCTGAAGTCACATTCCCATCACAAGGCTGGCCATTGTTCTTCCAACAGCTTCCGTCTGCGAAAAACAATTAACTAATTAATTGAAAAAAACACATTACAATGAAACGAAAGAGAAAGAGAAAGACATGCAAGCCATTCACGGTGCCCCTGAAGGCCCTCCTTATTGAGAACCTTTACAGCGGCAGGGAGAGATTTGAGAGAGAAAGGAATTGGAATTGGAGAGATTTGAGAGAGAGAGGAATTGGAGAGATCTGAAGAAGTATAACGTTGGAGAAGATCAAATAAGATAATATTCCGTTGTAATGTTTTTTAAATTTGAAAATATTCAAATAAATCTCCTTTTTCTATTTATCTCCAAAAAAAGCGTACTTTTGTAAAAGTGTTTCATTGAAAGCCTTCAAGAATCCTTTCTTCTGTTATTAATTTTTTTTTTTTTTTTTTTTGCATCACGAAATAAATAGTTTCAGCTTTATCTCTCATCCTATAATCAAAGAAACATTTGTCCATGAGCAATTCTTGACAATCTCCGGACAGAGATGAGTGTGCTTGACGGACACCATTGGAGGAGAACCATATTTATTAACCCCCTGCAGAGACAATCCTTTTTGCCCATAACCAATCACCAAGCCATCTTTAAAACACATTGATGGGTTTCATCACCTTCCAGCCTTCACCCACATCCAAAGACTTTGAAGAGCTCCTTAGCAACAAAGGGCCCCTTTGCAAGCCCATGATCCACTTTTTCGCCCAGCCCACCAAGAGTAACACGCCCCGACCCAAAAATTTTAAGCTTTCCCTAACTTGGATTCGAGATAGCAGGACCTAGCCTTTCTTCATCTTCCTTAACGTTACCTAACCCCAATTTTGGCATTCCTCTGCCATCATCTCTGACATTTCTCAAGGGAGGGCTACCAGATCTATCTCAACCATTCTCATCATCAACAACCGTTACCTGATGGCTAAAAGATAGGTCATCTCCGAATCCAACGGCACCACCACAATTCCCAAGACCTGATTTCTAATAAGTAACAACCTTGCATTGGAATACATTTGAGGTATAGGCTGACGCGGAGAGCAATATTCCTAGTTTGGAATATTTCTCCTCTACTTCCGACTATTTTTCTAGGCTTAATGTGCTATTTGCTTACTGTTATTTCATTTCTTCGTTCATTTGATTTTTTACAGGGATGGAATGGTGGAAGTAGAAGTAGTAGACGACCAATATTTTAGCTAGTAGAAGAGAAGAGAAGAGGACTGTAGTGAGACAACTGAAAAAAAAAAAAAAAAAAGGGTTAGAGAGAAAGAAAGCTTAAGGGTAGTAAAGTTTCAAATTTAGTGATGAGTTAGGCCCTTTAGGTCCTTTAGATGTTGAGTTCTTGTGTTTCCTTCTTTTATTTTTTGTATTCCTTTTCAATGTTTAAGTTTTAGATTTGGTAATGCCAAATGTCTTATCTCCCATAGAAAAGTAGTACATCTAGTGAACAGTTTAGGGCTTTTGCTATGGCCTCCTATGATGTATAATAATAAAAGAATTTATATTGTAGTATGACTGTTTGAAGAAAATGAATTCTTGATCAAAGCACCCACTACAGTAGGAAAGCAGCTAGGAGACACAGCACCCATCGTAGCAGGAAACTAGCTAGCCTACCGAAATGGATTACCCCATCTCAGAGTAACCCTCAACCCCTCCACCTTCTTGCACCTTCTCTAGCCCAACACCCATACACAAGCAACAAGCACAGCAAAGCACGAGGCTCACTCGCCAGCCACACAAACACTATCAGAGATACTCCTCCTTCTCAAAATTAGACCAGCTCCAATAGAAGAATCACCCCCTTGCTGCTTTAGAGACTTTTTACTAGTGATGTTACAACCATTCACAGTAACAGCTGAATCCTCTTTAGCGCCAACATGTTTTTTACCTTTATCTTTACGGGGCCGTTTGGATTAGGTTGAAATTTTTTAATGTGGGTAATATTGGTTTAATTGAGCAGATAACCGTATTTGACATTTTTGTACAAAAACATTTCAGGAAAATAAGATGACGAACAATTCCAAAAAGGGGGTAAATTGCTGGGAATAATATTACCTTGGGGGGGGTAGGGGGGGGGGGGGGGCTGTTATTAAAACATTCCTCTGGTAATCATAATTTATGTCCAATCTTGCCCCTAAACAGTGGATTATGCGGACGAAAATATCCTTTGGTATATTAATAATTACAAAATAGCCAATTTGCACAAACAGACGTATTTGTCCTCAATTTTTTTATTTTCCAGACGAAATTGCCCTATTTTTTATCATTTTTTTTTCAAAAATGCCACGAAGATTGGTGTACCCATATTATATATCCTCAGATATTTGCATATTGTGACCAATATGCCCTTGAACTTCATTAAAACTACAGTATAAAAGAAAAAAAAATTCACAACTGTACAGCCACGATTTCCTTCTTTGCACTAAAACTTGTTCACTGCCGCTGGAATCTTCTTCTCGTCGATCTCATTCACCAGTTCGTCAGTCCAATCGCTATTTCTGGTAAGTCATTTGCCCTCTTTCCTTTGTATGTTGTGTGATTTGTTTGGATCACGATGCATAACCCTAACTTGTCCATTTTGCCTCCATTGTTGGTCCACCATCTCTGTCGCAGCAACGTCGGGTCTTCGTCGCCCTCTATTTGCTCTTGATAGCACTCCAGTCGCGGTTATCGATAAGTTTGTCGCCTTTTTATGGTGTAGGAAGATTATTAAATTGATAGAGTTGGTTTGTTTCATTTTCGAGAGGGTAGTATTTTCGTGGAATAACCGATTTGATCTTGAAATTACATGAAAATAGTTTGAAATGGCAGTAGGGATTACGGTTTAATGTCGTGATTTGTTGTGTTTGAGGTTAGGGTTCCTTTGTTTTTTCTATTTAAGGTTTGGCTTGGTGTGTTCTTTTTTATGTGTGTTAGGGTTGAAATTGCTGAAATTGTGTGTATGAACTGCATTTTCAGTCACTGTTATAGTTGGAACGTGATTTGTTTGGATTGCAATTTCAAACCCTAACTTCTCCATTTTGCCTTTGTTGTTGGTCTAGCATCTATGCCGCAGCAACCTCTGCTCTTCATCGCCATCTGTTTGCTCCCAACAGCACTCCAATCGGAGTTTTTGGTAAGTTCCTCGCCTCTTTATGCTATAGGAGGATTATTAAATTAAGAGGGTTGGTTTGTGTCACTTTACAAAGGGTAATATTGTCGTGGAATAATCGATTTGATGCTGAAATGACATAAAAATAATTCAAAATGGTAGTAGGTTGCTGGTTTAATGTCGTGATTTGTTGCGTTGCATTTAGGGTTGCTTTGTTTTTTGTATTTTATGTTTGGCTGGGTGTGTTCTTTTTTATGTGTGTTAAGGCTGAAATTGTGTGTATGGACTGCATTTTGGGTTACTGTTATGGTTGCAATGGTGGCTGGAATTTCATGTGTTTATGGTTGCATTTTTTTGTCGATCTGTGCATGTAATAGTGCTTGAAATACTATGTATATATGGTCAATTGACTTGGCAAGGTAATTGAAATGCTGAAATTGATTTATTGTTGGAATTTTGTGTGCATTCGGTAATTATTTGAATAATATTGTGGTTGGAGCTTTGGCATGTCTGGGTTACTTGTGCTTTGGGTGATATTGCTGTTCTTTGGACTATTTTAGGGGGCATCTACATAGATTTTTGGCTGCACGGTTCGGGTGGGTTTAGTATGGTGAGATGATGGTGTTAGTTGATATAAATTTATGGGTATTTGGCATGTGAGTGTGGCCATGTTTCCAAACTGGAATAAGTTATTCTCGTTATTATTAGAAATGATATTTTTAGTTGGTATAAATTTATGGGTATTTGGCATGTGCTTGTGGCTATGTTTTAAATTTTGAATAACTTATTATTGTTATTGGTTAAGCTTAGGGTTTTCGGTGTTAATGTCCTAATCTGAAAATAGATTTTGGTGTCATTAACCTTTTTGAAACTAGAAAGATACCTTTCAATCTCTTCTGACTTCCCATCAAGTACCATGTCCTCAAACAAATCAAAATCAAAAAATTTGATAAACAGAAATAACCAATGACATAAATAATCAACCTTCAAATCAAGTTACACTCTAGTTGAATGCTAAGAGAAATGATGGAGTACAAATAAAAAAACCTTTTTGTGGTGGGATTATTGTCTTTTCTTACTCACAATTTCTACAAAAAAAAAAAAAAAAATGAAAGAGTATCAGATTTTATTTTCGATAAATGAGGTCATTGTATAAAAGAATGAAAATATTACAACCTAGGAGACCAAACCTCCGCTGCTGCTAAAAACCTTGGACATGCCCAAGAAACAACAAACTATACAACGAAAACAAAAAACATTTCAAATAAATTGTGGTCCATGAGGTATGAAATACTTTGCAACATGAGAATGAGAATTCATTGGTTAGAAAGATAATAAAAATATATTACAATCGTTATTGGAATATTTTTATTGGACAACCTAAGAATTAATCAAAATGGGTTAAGCATGCGTAGTTACGAAACTGGATAAAATCAAATCTGATTGGATTCCTGAGATCAAGATAAACCTGAAAATGTACATGCTATTGAGCATGCGAATTAGATTGAAATATTTATTGTCCACAACACAAAAATTAACAACAAACAATAAATTTAGTCCTAAAACAAAACTTGTAGTACAATAAACTTAAGAAAGCACAATAATATAATACCAATTGAATTTCTAAAGAAGACAGTGTTGAGGGATTGATGTGAAATTTTTGTGATGTTTATGTTGGTTTGTGTGATGGATGAGAAATTTTTATGTGTGGGACGTTGAGAATTATATGAGTGTTTGAGGTGAATTTTTGTTTGGTGGTGAGATTATTAAATTTTGCTGTTTATGTTGTTTAGGGTTTGATATTTAGTTTGATTTCTTCCATATACAATTGCTTGTTATTGGTTTAAGGACTTGTACATGCTTGACTGACTTTATTATGCTTTGATCCATGAATTATGTGAAACAGCTATGGCTCGTTTAACAGTCAGGCAGAAGATGCACTTGGTTGCCCTTTGTAATGTTTCTCTTTCGCTAGCTAGTATACTTGTGAAATATACAGTAAAACTCACTAAATGTATCTATATATATAAGAAAATATACATGTAGATGAGGATAAAATAGAGGGCCCATACTAATTTCTATAACTCTAGTTTCTCACTACTCAAGATAGTGGAAATTGTATCATGCATAAGTATAATGCATATGCACAAATGCATAGGATGTGCATTTTCTTTTCTGTTTTTTTGTTTTCTTATTCTATTTTTTGTTTCTTTTCTCTATATTTCTTTCTTTCTTTCTATTCTTTCTTGCTGATCGGACTCGGATGAGGCATGGATTCGGAACCCTGGCCGTGTGAGTGTATTCTCTAACTTTTTCTGGGTACAGCCCTCATCCACATGCACTTCTAACGGACTGTACAATTCTTCTTTCTGATTCTGAGGCCGCTCACTAAAGGCGACGTGCATGCGTGTAACAACTACTGAAAACTAGTACAATGCATGCATAATAACAATGTAAAAT